AGAAGTTGACCTATAAATTTGTGCAGTATTATCTGCTGTAGGGTCAATAAGAGGATAGATCTTAGGTTTTTGTGGTCTTATTTAACATGTTGAAGGGAAAGTGTTCTTGTTTCTTGCTGGATTGTTTATGATCTGAAGTGTTATAGCAATTTATCATAACAAACAAAGCTGAATGTCGATTCTGGCTAAGTTAGCAAGTTTATACGCCTGACGAAAATACGGGCTGCTTTTCAGACATGAAAGGTGGTTTTAATCGTAATGGAACTGTGAGAGTAGTGGAACTTCACCTCCCAATTTCTTTAATGGGGACAAGAAATGACTTGAGAATTGATAATTTAAGGGAAATACTCTACCCTTTTAAATTGTGTTCTTAATCTTTTCTTATCATAATTTTATTAATTTGCATTTTGTTGCACATCTACTAGGTTATTTTCCCCGTATAGATTGGTGTGGTGCTTTCTCTTGCTTGTTCATCAGTAAAATAATACACGAGCAAGAATAGAAAATCTTCATACTTTCTTGACCGATGTTGTTCTTGACCTCTCATTTGTTACCCATTTCAGCGGATTACATCCGAGTATGGAAATTATTTCTAGCCATGGTGCCCACTGCTGTGACTCTGTAATTATTAGATGTGTAACATATTTCGATACACAACAACGGTCGAAGCTTCGCGTTGCAAAGGATAAACGTCTTTATCCCTTTGTAATTGAATCAAGATTTGCAAATTCAAGATATTCCCATCTGTCTAGTTTAAGGTTAAAGAAACCTAAGCAGTATAGAGCTCCCATAGCAGTTTGCTCGCTTGAGAGATGTGAACATGACAATTCAAGTCTCTTAAGTGAAACTTGTGACTCTTATGTGCTTGGCGGGAAGAAGGGTGTAACAAGTACTGGCACTGGCATTAGTCATTCAATCCCTAAAGTCTCGATTCCCGGGCTACCAAATGAACAAGCTCCTATAAGCAGCTGTTACTGGGAATGGAAGCCAAAATTAAATGTACATTATAAAACATCAGGGAGTGAAAATATGGATTCACCTCCAGTTCTTTTTCTCCCGGGCTTTGGGGTGGGCTCGTTTCATTTTGATAAACAGCTAAAAGATCTGGGTCGTGATTATAGAGTGTTTGCTCTAGATTTTCTTGGTCAAGGCATGTCTTTGCCGCAAGAAGATCCGACTTTGGGACTGAAGGATGGAAATAAATCCATTTTAGATGGACAAGATGATCTTTGGGGTTTGGGTGATGAAAGCGAGCCATGGGCGAAAGAGCTTGTTTATTCTGTTGACTTGTGGAGAGAACAAGTACAATATTTTGTGGAACAGGTATCCGGTCTGCTCTTTGATTATTCTCTTCTTTATTTTTCTTTTTATTTATGCTTTAGTCACCTATAACCTGTCACATAGGGTATATATGTAATTAAAAATGGTTATTGTGCAAAGTAGACCATAAAAGTTTCCGATGGAAGGAACTTTTCATTTTGTGGCCATAATGGAGGGAAATATTTTTGCTTATATGAGAAATAAGATTTTTTTAGCTTATATTTTGGTATTCATTTTTTATTTTGTGAAAAAAAAAAAAAAATAATCAGATCATAACTGGTGTAGCATCTGGCAGGTTTTACTTCATTCTTGTGCTCAATTTTTATGAGAACATCCGTTTGTTGCTTAACTTTCAGAATGATATTGCTCTTGCATTTGTCTTGAAGATTAACAGTCAGTTACACTGTCTGTATTATACAAAAATATTGCAGAACAGTCACGTTTGTAATCGTTTCTTGTCACGGCAGTTATTAATGAAAATTTTGACAGCAATACTTGGAGTAATGCAATAGTTACCTGTTTTAACTTTCGATATGTATTTTGCTTCCCTTTATTCTCCCAGCCATCTCCATTTTTTCCTCTTTTATGTGAAGACCATTATCTTTTATTGATTTCTTCATATGGGCAACCGATTTTTAGTTTTCCTTACCTCCATTGCATATCTTCTGTCAGTTCATGTTTTTTGCACTATTATTTTAGTAGTCATCAAATATACACCTGTCCTGTGCACTATTATTTACCATCTATTGTTTCTTAACTTTCAAGTTAATACTTTATTATCCTCAACAGCCTGCACGGTCTTGAATCACTATGTTCATTATTCTTTACTTTTGCATATTCCTATTGACAATTATAGGCGCAGAGCTCTATCTTGTTTTTAAAGAAAAAAAGAAAAGTAAAAATAAAAAGAGACACAATGGCCGAACCAATATAATGGAGAAGAATGTTGACCAAATGTGATTTTGTCTTTGTAGGTAATTAGAGAACCCGTTTATCTTGTGGGAAATTCACTCGGAGGGTTTGTGGCTCTCTATTTAGCGGCATGCAACCCTGGATTGGTGAAAGGTGTAACTTTGCTTAATGCAACTCCTTTCTGGGGGTTTCTGCCTAATCCCGAAAGATCTCCGAAATTGTCGAAACTGTTTCCATGGGATGGAACATTTCCTCTTCCTCCTGGTGTTAGAAAATTGGTAGAAATTTTGTAAGTTCTCTGCTAAAGTCCATCTGATATGTATGCAACAGTACTCATAAAACAATTAAAAGCTGTTATTATAATGACAGGAATTATCCCTATGTTTTGAAGTAATAACCAGAAAAATCGGAGAAGCACCAAAATTGAAAAAAAAAAAAAAAA